TGCCTTCAGTTGGGCCAGCTGATGCCTTCAGTTGGGCCAGCTGATGCCCTCAGTTGGGCCAGCCGATGCCCCTAGTTGGGCCAGCCGATGCCCTCAGTTGCGCTAGCTGATGCCCTCAGTTGGGCCAGCTGATGCCTCAGTTGGGCCAGCCGATGCCCCTAGTTGGGCCAGCCGATGCCCTCAGTTGCGCTAGCTGATGCCCTCAGTTGGGCCAGCTGATGCCTCAGTTGGGCCAGCCGATGCCCCTAGTTGGGCCAGCCGATGCCCTCAGTTGCGCTAGCTGATGCCCTCAGTTGGGCCAGCCGATGCCCCTAGTTGGGCCAGCCGATGCCCTCAGTTGCGCTAGCTGTAGCCCCAACTGGGCCAGCTGATGCCCTCAGTTGGGCCAGCTGATGCCCTCAACTGGGCCAGCCGATCATCGGTCCCGCTTCTCTTGTTCTGAACGTCCGTAAGATTCACTACATCTGTCACCTGCCTCTTGCGATTATTGCTCTATGTGATCACCTGACGTGACCTCAGTACTCATCATCACTAAAAGGTAGCGAACGAGTTACTTCTCAATTACTGTGCTGTCTGATTCCAGGTAGCTGTGTTAAACCCCGACTCCTTCACCATCTAAGTATCTTAGAACCTCAAAATTTGTTCCGTTGAATAACATGAATTGAATGTTTTAGAGCTCAGTCAGATAATGCAGAGAGGTCTTCTTGCAGCCTCTCGCCAATGTGGTGGCGTTGCTCACATTTACATCTATATCGGCAATGTGAATGTGGAAGAGAACCTGACAGACAGTTCCCTGCGTGGCACCTCACTTTTCACCCTAGCCTCACTTAAACTCGAGTTTCCAACTTATAACCATCACGTGTGGTGATGACAAGTTGACAACGGGCTGTGGTGGTGTGAGCAAAGGTTACGTCGTGTGGGGTTACCAACGTCACATAATTTATACAAACCGAAAATCATGTCGGTTAGGAATCTGCATCCGTGTCAGCAACTCTTTTCCGACCTTCAGTTGTCTTGGTTTTCTAAAGACCACTCTATGGTCAACGTCATGCAAGGATTTTGCAAAGTCCAAATACTGTTGTTGCAAAGTCCCACTAAAGTTGCAAAGTCCCAATAACGGCTGTTGCAAAGTCCCACGTCGCCCCTCCTCTACTTCGGCGTTGATGCTCCGTCAACTGCATAGGACGAGCAGAAGCGATTTCGCCGGAAACCGTGGTAACTTCTGTTGAAAAAAATCGTCTTTCTTTGTATGCTGCATCAACCTACTGGCAACGATCTTCTCAAATATCTTGAATACAAACGATTCTGGCTTGTAATTTAGGGGTTTGTCTCTTGCTTCCTATTGTAGATTGGAGTTGTCAGTCCAATATTGAGGTATCCTTTGGCATTATTATCAATAATAGTTAAGCGTTAGTAACTTCGTCAGCCAACCAAAGACGATTTTTCAAGCTTTAACCACCAATCACAGACGAGAAATCGGTCGCTCCGTGTACTTTGGCCGCTTATACGTGTGCCTAAGCAAGTACGATGATAGTAGGTATACGGCCATTAGCTGGAACATCTGGCTCGAACAGTTCGTTGTTGATGTATTGGCGCCCGCTTACACAGTACCTATAGCAGCGATCCTTTTTCCAGCAAGATACATGAGCTGATTACGGCACTTGATTGTGCTGTGTCGTGCATACACGTGTGCCGTGCATACACGAGTGCCGTGACAGGAAATGCCAGGTGCTGGAATTGTGACAGGCGAACAAGATCAGCCCCGTCAGGATGTCTTAAGCGCTGAGCCACTTCAAGGTGCAGGTTAGGTTGGGGGTCTGAATTTCTGAAGAACTTTGATGGGAGAGAAGACGAAGTCTTTGCCTTCCGGGCCTTCTCGTGCCGAGCCCTTGCCTTCCGGGCCTTCTCGTGCCGAGCCCTTGCCTTCCGGGCCTTCTCGTGCCGAGCCCTTGCCTTTCGGGCCTTCTCGTGCCGAGCCCTTGCCGCAGGTGCCCTCACGTGTCCTCTGGCCTTTATATGCCGCTAGGTTTACGTCGGTATCATCACATTTAGCCTTCAAGCTTATGTCCCCGTAACTTGAATGTGCTAGTAAGTCACGTCGCAGCTGAACTCGTGTCATCTTTTTCCGTAACTTTGTAACTCCGTTAATTTAATGCTCAGGTCACTGTACTGCGTGAGCCGTGTTTGAACAGATATCTTATGCTTTAACTCATCATTAAGGTGCTTAAGAAGTGACATTGAAGAATGTATTCTTTATCCTCCTACAGGATTGCAGTAACCGAGGAACTGGAGGGGTGAGCGGTGGTAACAACAACGGAGGGGGCGGCGGTCCCTTGGACAATATGAGGGCCTTCCACCACACCTTATCTGATATTATGCGCGACCAGCAGCAGCAGGAGCTCAATAAAGGTGAGAAATTTGCAGCAGTAGCTCTGTTACAAGTTTACAGCAGCGAACATCTGTAGCTATATATGTTCAGATGAGAAATAATATGTAGTCGAGAGCACGCGCCAGTCATGGTTCCGTAAAAATATTTTTTAATGCATTTATAGAAGCATTCACACCAGCCGTGCAAGGCATCTGTTATGCCAGGCACGGTCCAGACACGATCAAGGCGAAAGATATTTTAACCGAAACGTATTTGCAGCGTTGCCAGCTATTGTTTTTCCGAGTTGACCACTCTGTCTGCTAAACATTACAAATTTTAGCAAATATGCCAGATTAAAAATATCCATACCAGACACTATCTCAGCATGCTATATTTATTAAATCTGGTATGAAAATATACCAGTTGGCAAAGCTACGTGACCGGCATGGCACGTGATACGAAAGAAACTGAAGTGAGGATAGCCCGTGACCGGACCGAGCACGTGAACGAACCTGGCAGGGAACGGACCGTGACTGGCATATACATGGCACGTGCCCGGCAGGATGGTGTGAATCGAGGGCTCCATACACTATATATGGAGTCTCACTCGCGAGTCTAACTCGGCTCTCCTTCAAACTTAACCAAATCCGCCTGTGTAATGCGTCTAACAAGCCGAGCCGGGCAAAATAAAGGCGAGCCGAGCCGTGGCGCCTAACGAGCCGAGCCGGGCCGGGGCAAAATAAAGGCGAGCCGAGCTTGTTATGGGGCTCGACTATCAGTTCACCAGTGCATTGTGCAGTACGATCTGACCATCTGACTTGTTGGTTTATAGTTGCTATGCGGACGCCAGGCTAGTAAGGTGTGTCGATCATGGCTGACTCCAAGTTATTCATGAGCCCTGATTTCCTAATGAAATGTATGGTCGAGTATCGTGATTTGCCATATTTGGATGGCCCGCAGTGCAAAATATTGATATAAATTTCTATGGCCTAACGCTTGGAACATCCTTAAATAGTTTTGATAGTAGTTTCGACTATAGTTTCTTATAAGATTGAACTAATTAATGTGACTGAACGTCTGTCTTTTGAATAGCCCATCACTAAAAGAAAAGGAAAAACTTGCTACCAGAAGTCCTACTACAAAAATTCATTCCTTATACAATTTAATACGTCGGCAAATTCGATGTATTCCGGAGATACGCAGGGAAAGTTGATCGTAAAAGAGTAAAATATTTAAATTTAATTGATTTAAACGAAATAACTAGGTTGGAGGGATATTCGATTACCTATGGATCAACGGCTGTCGGTTTCTTGACATGCATAATATACCTCCCATACTTCATTTAACACGATAGATCCAATTTGTTCCGACGGACTCATCTTCACGACTGGACGCTACGAGCAAAGTACGAAGGTGTAAGGTGAAATATTCACGGAATCAGGTTCGCCAGTCAGGATCGGCTATTTGGACTAGCGAGTCAGAAGCCCAAGTGTATGGGGCGCTCGTGTCAGTGAGCGAACGTCTTGGGGGTTGCCTGCTAGGATCTAAAGCGTGTTGTAGGCTCAACGGGAGAGGCAGTCTCGGCTAGGTTGACGAGGATTGAGGGTGTTGTGGTGGTTAGTGCAGGTAGCTGTGATAACACTACTTCGGTACGAACCGTGGTTTGTCTTAAAATAGATAAACGCCGACCACATTTACTGGGCGCGTTGCGTTCAATTGAAGATCAATAGTCGAAGAACCCACAGCGATCGTTCATACGAATTCCTGCACCGTTTGAGTTCGCCACTACATTCGAACACCAGTAACCGAACCTGCAGAGGAAGCCTGAGCAACGTAGACTTAACTTAACTGAATAAAATAGATTACAGGCAAGCTACGACGTGCAAGATTCGCTTTAGTACCTATTCTCCATCCGGACCGAGCAGGATGAGCGTAGCCACAACAAGCGTCCATATTATGTATTCTTGCTACGTCAGACGCCACACATGCCGCCTTATATAAGTAGAACGAGATGAGATAATTCACCGCAAACATACGACATCGAGTGTATACAGAGACCGAGAGAAAATGTCAGCAAAGCATATTCAGAATGAGCGGTAATATTAGCGGCTGAGTGGACCCTATAAGTTAAGTATTCCAAGATACCAACTGATAAAGTAAGTCGCAAGATATATCAACTGATAATTACTCGCTTAGTTTCTTACTTTTCTCTTCAATTTTAATTTTTAGAATCTTACATGAGGTTGATTAATCCCTCCTAGATGTCAGCCGTCACTGTTCGTTTGACCTTACGCAGACCGGCTTATCAAAAACCAAACTACCAATACCAAATCAAAGTCACGATCAAGACATAAATTTCGATTACTGAAAGAGAATACAAGAGTTAATTGATTTAGATAAATGAAACACTACTTTTCAACCGGTTTTTGTGACCCAGAGGCTCAATAGCTCAGCAAATAGGGTGACTCGCATCAGCAACCATGTCCGCAATCTAAGGAGCTTTGGATGATTCACGGAGAATGCTGTTTAAGCTGCTACAGCAGCAGCACATAAACATAGCAGCAGCAGAAGCTCATACGCGAAGTATATGGATCCTGCATATAGCAGGTCATTTAGGTTGCTGCAGTTCATAGAAACAGCTAAAAGCTGCAGCTCGTGGAGGCTGCACCGTTGACGGCAGGAGAAGTGGTGCGAGTGAGGCAGTCAGATGTCGCCATGGTTGAACTATATAAGGTTGACCCACGAGAAATTCCGTCTTTCAGTTCAGCTTTCTTGTTACGTCACGTAGATCGAGAAACGTAAAAAATGGGCTTCTAATGGGACGTCACGAAGATCGAGAAACGTAGAAAATGGGCTTCTAATGGGTCAACCTTATACTAGTTCAACCATGGATATCTCGGGAGTTCCTTCCTCTTCAAGCTTTAGTACGCAGAGGCTGGCTAGACTAGTCCACCCCAGCTATGCTCACCTTAAGATCCTAACATCCCCCAGGGCAACAAGTACCATGAGCTAGTTAAGGGCCACCAACCACAGGACATGCTGAAAGCGCTACTTTTGAAGGCTTGATCGCCTTCGGGTGAAGGTATATCACCATGCCCTGTGTTAGTATAGACTTGCAGGCTGTTAGGCTACAGGCTGTGTTAGGCTATAGTCTGTGTTAGGCTTTAGGCTGTGTTAGGCTACAGGCTGTGTTAGGCTACAGGCTGTGTTAGGCTACAGGTTGTGTTAGGCTCTAGGCTGTGTTAGGCTACAGGCTGTGTTAGGCT